GACGGTGCGAGTCCTCACTGGCCACGCCGGGGCACCTACTTGGCGCTCTGGGGAACGTCAGCTTTGCGTAAGAAAAAGTGCCAACACTCATGGACTGGAGAGTTCGCCAAAGAAACACAGGTGGTAAGCTTTGCGCAGCAACACATCAAAACACTGCGTTCCTACCTTTAAGGGATTGGTTCTATTGTTTCAGAAGCTCCTGGAGGGTTTAGTAAAACCCACATGGCCAGGATTCGCCTCCAGTTTCTGAGTGGGAGCACGGGGGTGGGGCTGGGAATCTGAATTCCTAACGAGCACTCGGGGATACTGTGCTTGCTTGAGAGCCACTGTCTTCGCTGAAAAGGACTATCCAGGCCCAGGACTGAGCAAGGCAGGATGAACAGGGCCAGAGGCATCTGTCTGCAGAGTCTCACGTTTGATGACTTTGCACAGATATCACAGATGACACTCTGGGACCTTCGAGGGGAAGCGTGAGCACATTCGAGCACCATGCTTGGGGCTGAGCCCTCCACACACGTTTGGTTCGTGAGGATGGCTGGCTGGGAGCTTCCTGGGGACCTACTGGAAGGACCCTCGGCTGGAAGGGATGAGGCTGGGGGCAGAGCTCCTGCCGGAGAGGTGCATGCGTGCAAAGAGCACACGGGCAGCCAGAGCGCAGACGCCAGCTGACCAAGGCTGCGGGGGACGGGGTGGGGCAGAGGTTTCATTGTAAAAAATGAAAGTAAGTCCAGGCAGCAGAAGTTCCAATGTCAAGCCCCCTCTGGAGTTATGTAGGCGTTGGGGAGGGCCCGCATGCCGCCTCACGCGGAACTGGAAAAGGGCCTGTGCTTGCTCATGGGTTATCAGGTTGGTTTCTTGTTGCTGGTGAGCAGGGACGGGGGAGAGCGGTTGGGAGAGGATGTCAGCGGGGTTAGTGCCAGCCTCGGCGGCTGCTATACATACCACCCAGGTGCAAGTCGATGAGGTCACTGTAATAAGACTCTCCCCAATAGTCTACAAGGAATCGGTGAAGAGAGAGTTATTGGATCAGACACGCCTTCATGCCCCCCACATCCAAAGCGATGATACAGCAGAGATACAGAGAGGGTGGAAAGGGACAGCCGGAAAGCATGCATCTCTCTGTATGCCTTGGGGGGCATTCTGGGGCCCCCGAGCACCATGGATGAGTCCAGTGTGGGTCCTGTTCACACCTTGGATCAGGGAGGATAGCAAGCCTCGGACTTGATGGGTGCTGGGCCTCAATCTCTCCTCCCTAGGAAGAGGGAAGTTTCCGAGGCCAGTCAGGCACTATTTACACCCTTAGTGATCGAATGTTAGCGCCCCAGACTGAGAAACTGAGGCAGGGTGTGGGGCTCCCACCAGATCTCTGCCAGAGCAGCCCTCAGCTTCAAGGCCAGCTGCCAGGGACGGCCGGGGCTGAGAGGGAGGAGGTCCCGGTTCTTCCGGGCTTCAGGTCCCCACCGGCCAGCCCTCGCTATCAAAGCGGGCTCGAGCTGTGCGTCAGGGCGCTGAGACTGCCACGCGCCCGAGACCCAAAGTCTGGGCACTGCTGGGGGCCGGCGGGCAGGTGGCCCTCACCCTCCCAGAATCAGAGGTAAAGCAGCGTGACCACGTCCGCAGCCTCTGCGGCCCCTTCTCCTCCAGCTCCCACAATCTGACTCTGACCTCGCAGCTCGTGTTGCACGCGAGGCCCCGCCGGGGTGGACACACGCAGACAGAAGGTGATCCCGGAAGCTTTCAACTCCCGGTCGAGGCTGACCCCGCGGTTTAAGGTGAACCGGGGTTCCGGAAACAGAAGGGGCCCTAGACCAGAAACCATGCAGCATCTTGGTCTTGCCCTGGCTGGAGGGCTCTAGGCGAGTCCTTGTGAGCCGGAAAGGCCGGGTTCCACGGGTGGCAGGCCCGCGCCAGAGTTCTTCCGAACACTGCGACCCTTCAGAGAGCCCGGGAAGCCCACCACGTGGTCAGCTGAGGGCCCTCAGGGAAGGGCTGACTCGCCCGGCTGGAAGACTCCAGAATATGCTGCTCAAGAATAAGGGCTCAGCCGGCTGCAGCCAGTCACGAGAGAGGCAGGAGCAGCAGCCAGGAGCACGTGCAGCTTCATGATGGCGGCTGCAGGCAGGGACAGGGCCCTGACGCTGGGCACAAGCCCGCCTCGGAAGTGATGTGTTTAAAGCAGGAAAAAGAAAATTATGTATTTGGATACCGAGTTCCATGATCGGAACGATTAAGCCCTGAGAACCTCCCAAGCGCGTGCTGGGGAATGTCCCGAGAGGGCACCAAAGCCTGTCTCTAAAACAGCACAGATTCGGGTTTGGACAGAGGGGTTTCGGTGACGCCGAGAGGAAGGTGGGTTAGGACAGTGATGTCTAAGCTGTCCTGTGGAACCTGGGACTCTTCGAGTGTTTCAGGAGGTCTCCAAATACCTGGACCGCAAATAGTTTTAAGCTGTTCAGGATACATGAAACAGGCTCCAGTGCATCAGTGTATGCCAACTTCTAACCCGCTGAAGGCCTTCGCCACCTTGCTTTATGCCGCCAGGTTAACTCGTTTTTGTGCGAGCCCCGAGACAGCTTCTTCAGCTCATTCTGTGCTCCCTGTGAATGTGTCAGGGAAGAGGACACTGTTCTCATTTGCTTAAATACACAGGTGTGCCCTGGACTACTGGCCAGGGGACACCCAGGGAGCCCAGCCTCCAAGCCGCGCCTGTCGGCTGGTGCTGGAGGGGAACAGCACGTGCCCAGCTCCACGGCACAGCTGATGTTGCGCTTACCGCGTGCTTGTAAGCTTGTGCCTCTTGTTTGGGAAGAGCATGAACCACAGTCAGTTTGTTTGTGAGTCAACTCTGAAGACAATTCTCACTGCTCCCCCTAAGCCTCTAGATCACTGAAACCAGACAGATGCTGAGACTTCCTGGAGGGTTGTGCAAAGTCATTATGGCCACTGCCTGTGTGTATCAGACACGGGGGGACGTGGCTGCTGAGGCCTTACACCCCGAGCTGCCTAGCATACCCGTGCACACCTGTGCATCCACAGCGCAGAACTCCTTTCGATTTTAAACTTGAACATGGCTTCGCTTATGGGAAGGTTTCTGCTGTCAAAAACAACGTTGCAAGCCACTGACTCTGATGAAATGTCACAGGTGTGCAAAAAGGTAGTAAACTGGAAGGAAGAAATTTGGCAAGACCCTATGCCCGTCTTCTATGGTATTATTTCCTGACTCCAGTTGGCAGCTTGAGTCACGTGAGATACCGAAGCACCGTCACACACTTTAACTGCCCAGCAGCCCACAGGCAGGTGGGCGCTTGGCGTGAGGCTCAGACCTCGTGAGCAGGCGGGAGGGAAGTGTCCCTCAAGGGCCGCACACTGCGACAGCAGACGCCTGCTGAGTTACTGTGTGGCGAAGCGGGCGCCTCGCTTTACGCCTGGGCAGTAAGCTCTGGAGGGACAGGTGGACGGCTGATGGGCCCTGGTTCCCTCCAACACTGTCTGCAAGAAGAGAAAGCACCCACCTCTGGTGGGTCCGGGCTGGTGCCCTCAGGCAGACAGGCTGGGCAGAGGGGGCCAAACCAGAGCACGTGGGGCACCGAGACAGCACGGCCTGTCTCAGGTCACCCGGATCTCCGCTCCGTGACACGGCGCGTGCCTCGCCGCCCCGGGCTTCCTGGCTCAGAGCCTGCTCAGTGGGTCAAGGTTTTGTGTCACGTGGTGGCCGGGCTTTAAGCGGTGAGTTCAGCCTCGGGGGGAGGACATGGCAAGAGCATCTACTTCCTCCTTTTTCTCCCCACTCCCTCTCTTCGACAGAAGGCTGTCCCTGAGCTGACTGTTAGGCTGCAATTTTAAGGCCTCGGAGGGCTTGGGAAGGAGACCTGCTTCTGACCGACTCCCCCAAGACGGGCTTGAGTGCACAGAGCCCCAGTGTTCACCTCGACACCAGGCGTGGCACGTGAATTCAGCCCGCCAGCCAGATTTCCAGCAGGTCGATGGCAGCGACCAGCTCCCTCTTTGGGGGGCTTCTGCGTTTCACAGCCTGCCTGCCGGAGGGGCCGCCCTCCCCGCTGCCACGCTAGAGTGAGGGTTATGCACAGTGCAGTCACCGCCTCCTTTTCATCCCAGCCCGGCAATGCGAAGGCTGAGCTGGAGGCCACAAAGAAATGGTCTCCTCACCCAGAGACTGGATGGGGACTCGGGGACGCTGGAGAAAGCAGAGACCAGTCACTCCAGGTCAGAGTTGGGGTGACAGCTGCACAGCTGGGGTGACCCGGAGTTTTTAAGATCCTGAACCGATAAGGCTTCCAGGATGATGAACGCCTCCCCTGGACTCAACGTGCTGACCCCACCCCAGCTGGGCACACAGTGGCTCTGCCCCCCACGCTCCAGAGCGCCCCCAGGAACAGCCTCAGAGCCACGGCCCAGCGCCCGCCCGTGCTGGCTCACCGCAGCCCCCAGCCGCTCTGGCCTGCCCGAGTGACCGGCCTCCAGGAACAGAGCCTGGGCTCGCACTGCAAGTCTTCGTGTGTGTCTGCGGGAGGTGGTGAGGACGCTCGGGCGGCTCAGGCGGCAGAGGGAGCCGGCGCTCAAGGCGGGAGGGGGGGGGGGGGCGGGCGGGGGCCTGCTCGTGCAGTTCTGTGATGGCTCCTTGTGGCACAAAGTCCCTCATTCCCAGTTATTTTCTCTAGAGAAATGACGGGTGGGAGAGGAGCGGGGAGAAGAGGAGGATTTGCCGTCAACAGATGAAACGGACCGAGATTTCATTCTCCAGGTAAGCGGCTGCGGCAGGGCTGGGCCTGGGGCAGTGGCAAAGGGAGGCGCCTTTCTTTTCCTTTGCTAACGGGAGGCCCCACACCTCAGTCACGAAGGGCCCCAGAGAATCCTGCTGGAGAAGAAGCTGAGGTCCGGATGAGGCTGCAAAACTAGCCTATGTGGGAGGCTGGGGTGTCCGGGGGGGCGGTGCTTGCCTTCAGGGACAAACCTGCTCACAGAGGACACCCAGACAGTACCTGCTTCGCCGCGGAGGGCCTTCTCCACAGCCACGCCTCTTTCCTCCAGCTGCCTCTGCTTCTCCTCCACCTGCTCCAGCTGCCGTTGGATAATCTATGGGAAAACCGCCGTGTAAGCTGGGCCTCGCCACTGTGCGGGCCCGGGCCTCCTTCGTCAGCACCGTGGAGCCGGGCTGCGAGTCGGGGGCCTGCCCCTCTCTGGAGCAGTTCAAAGACAGGAATTGGGTGGGAGCACCTGCAGGAAGGCTCCAGGTACGGAACCTGGGCCTTCCTGTGGCGAGGCTGCGGGGGCACGAGTGTGGCGTGTAAGACGATGGCGGAAATCCTGTCTCTATCAGATAAAAAAACTAAACAACAACAAACCTGGAATGGGGCAGTGAGCCAGACGCACCTGGCAGCCCTCAGGGACTAACTATGGTGCCAGAAGGACTTGCCACCTTCAGAGAGTGACCAATACAGGTACTGGCAGCGAACGTCACACCGGAAATGAAGTAAGGCCCAGTGACCCAATCAGATAAAGAGAAAAGGACAAGACGATGGGTTTTTCACGCCTGAACGAGACAGAATGCCGAGGAATGTCTTCATTTGGAGTTGGCTTTGCTGTTTCTCGTTGTTGTACAGCTTTTGATTAGCATAAACAACTTCCTAAAGACAATTACATCACGTCAAGTGAGAAACCACGTTGCCCTTAGGTATCTCTCAGTAGTGTGCGTGACAAATCCTTTTTCGATGAGGAATGCCCAGCAGGCACGAGGCCTGCAGACAGTGAGCGGCAACGGCCACCGGGTCGTACCTGGGCTCGGTGCAGTCGCTTCAGCTCCTCCTGCTTGGCCTGCTTCCGGGCTGCCTTCTGCACACGCCGGGTCAGCTTGGCGTTCAGTTCTTCCTCTGTGTAGGTTCTCGGCTGGGGAGGAGGAGAGAGAGTTCCTCAGCCAGTGGCAGGCAGGCCGCGGAGCGGTCTGGGCGCTGGGGGGCAGGGGCGGGGCGGCACAGGTGCCCGGCAGAGGTGCCCCTCGCAGAGAGCCGGCCAGCTGGCGGTGGGCACAGGCCGTGCGCGGGTGCCCGGCTAGCTCAGCTGTGGCTTCGGCGGGCGCCTGAGCCCTGCCAGCCTCAGGCTCACCTCAAGATCCACACGAGGGCTACTTCCCCACTGTGCCAGGGGCGGGAGGCCGAGCAGGGCCAGCGAGTGGGAAGTTCAGAAGCCAGTGGGGCTACGCTCACGCGGCCACCCACTTCCCGCAGCAGGAGGCGTGCTCTGTGAGGCTACAAGTACTGGCAGGTGGTGCTCAAGCCTCCGGTTCTGGGAAGGGGTCAGGGAAGACAAAGAACACCAGAATCCTTCCAATTTCTTGTTTGGCATCAAGAGTCACTTCCTTCTGACGGGAGCATCAGTGTCACTCATCTGGGGAAAGTGAGAGTGACTCTCGATATACCGGTATCCCTACCCCTCATCCGGAGACTTCTGATGCCAAACACGAACAGATGCGTGTGCGTGCGCGCGTGTGTGTACATGTGTGTACACGGATGATTCTTAGGAGGTAACATCTGAGGTAAGAAAGGTGCTTCCAACTGAGGTCTGAGGGACCCCGAGCCGAGCATCTGACACAGGGAACGTGGCGGCCCGGGACTGACTCTGATCGGCACGGGGTGGGGCGGCGGGGAGGAGGGAGGCAGGAGGAAGGGGCCTGGTGGGCTGTTTCGGTCAGCGCAGGGGGCGCACTGGGGGGCCCGGAGGACCTGTCCGACGCCTTGAACAAAAGGCAACTGCTGAGAGGCCATTGCCAGGGAAGCTGCCTTGATCCATGAGAACATTAAGATGGAGACTTTTACCGACTCTGAAGGGGACCTCAAGTCCAACTCAGAGTGGAATCTAACAAGCTCCGTTCTGGAGCTCAGGGCTAACAGAGCAGGCAGCTCTTGAATGGTCAGCGGTATCCTAAGCATCTCGCTTGGCAGATTACGGAGCCAAGGGCTCAAGAGCCCCCTGCTTCTTTTGAATTTTTAAAGAAGATTTATGTATTTATGCATACAAGAACTGGGGCACAGGCCAGAGGTGTGAGGGGTGAGAGGATTCTCCAGAGACAGAGTGGGGGCCAACTGAGATACACTGCTGAGGGGAGCCGCGGGCGAGACAGGCGAGGTCAGCTGCGCCACGTGGGTCGGCTCCCTGGCTGGGGATTGAACTTGTGCTGCAGTGGCTGCGATAGCTCCTGAGTGCTGTGCTTTAACTCATGGCGCCACTAGGGAGACCCCAAGAACTCCCCATTTCTGTGGTGCCCATTCCCAACAGGGCTGCCCTGTCCCACCCCTGTCCCTCCCCTCCCCGCCCCAGGCACCCAGAGCAAAATAACCACATGCACTCCAGCCTGCACAGAGCAGGGCATCTCACCCTCCTCTGCCATGGCTCAGCTCTAGAAAGTTCTGCCGCCAGTATTTACTACAGCTCCATGCATGTATGAACACCGTTAGTGAGGACATGGCTGGAGGGCCAGGCTGGGCTGCTCCAGTGGTTAATTACAGACACGCATGCAACGATGACCAGCCAATGGGAATGAGACACTACCTTTGATGCATATGATCTCCTGAATGCCAAGGCGTGTGGTACATAAATCGACTTTTAAGGGGATGGCAACGGAAAACAAAACAGAATAGTAATAACAATAACAATTTAAAAATTAAAACTAGAACACAGAAATGGAGCAAAATCAGTTAGAAGTTTCAAACAAATGCACAGGACTAAAACACACGATTATTTTCCACAGTGTCACACAGGACCGCGTCAGTGAGGAGCTGGGGTTCACACCCTACCAGCGGCATCTTAGCAAACCCCCGTTTTCAATAAGGTTTGGGCTCGCAGTTCTGCGGAGAAGCCAGCATCCTCCTGACGGGGCCCGGAACCTCGGCTTCTCCCTGCTCAGTCTGCCTTGTGTACGGAGCAAGACTGTTTTCGGTACAAGGCGATCGACACAGCGTGTCGCCTTCAGTCTCCATCTGCTGTGGAAACGCAGATGACTTCCAGCTGTGCTGCGGGGAAGTGGGAGGTGGGCGGGTGGCGGATTCCTGTCGCCACAGAGAAGCCGGAGGGCGAAACCTCAAGGTCTCTTGCTAAGGCCTCTCCCGGCAGCACTGCTGAACAGGGCCGGGTGGACTCCTAGAGGCTGCCCAGCAACCCTGGGCAGAGGGTGGGGTCCCTGGGGGCTGCTTCTTAGTTCTACACAGTAGGAGGGTAACTGATCTTCATCAAGAATATTTAGGCCTCCGTGTAGCCCTCTGGCGCAGGGAGTCGGAGCAGCCGCCCCGCCCCCAGCCCTGCCCATCCTGCGGTAAAGGAGGCGGGAAGCCGGAGGTCCAGGGGCCACCCCCACCCCGCGCTCGCTCCTCTGTGCACGAGCGGGGACCAGCAGGGAGGAAGGAGCTCAGCTCTGCAGTGGCCTGTCACCGGGAGCCCTGCCCTCTGCGAGACCGACCCTCTCCCACACCGGAGCATGGAGGACGGATTTCAGGATCGGAACACGTCTAGGAGGGAGGGAGGACTCCCCAGGTCGCAGGTGAAAGTCTCCCCAGGAACTGAGGATGATGTCAGAGGGGCGGGGCAGCCCTTGGCTTATTTCTGGGGGAGGGGAGGTGCCAATTTGGCAGAGGCCACGGCCAGAGGGGTGAAATTGGGGCTCATCTGACATGGGAGGGGTGAGGAGCACGGGCGGGCCAGGAGGGAGCACCGCAGGGCTGACGGCCACCGTCTGCTGAGAAACGCCAGGGCCGTCTAAGGACAAATGCACTCCGGGCCCCGCCAGAGGCCACGGAGCAGCCAGGCCGGTTGTTTTTAAGGCCAGGCTGGGCACAGAAAGGGGGTCGTGTGTGTGCATTAGCTCTTGCTGGTAGGGCTACAGGTATAAAAAGCAATCTGTAAGATCTTAGTTTTGTATGCAAACATTTTAAGTAAAAATAAGTTATCTGAGTTCTTTCTACAAGATGAAACAAGACACAGGTGCCTGCTTCGCAGACGCCTAACTCAGGGACGGTCTCTGACGAAGGGGAACTGGGTCCCCCAAGGATGCTGCCCCAGCGGCCGGCTGCCCGTCCCCCAGTCAACTAACCCCCGTGCTCACTCTACAACTCTTGAACGAAAACCTGCACACCCTGCACTTCGCTAGATCTCACATTTTAATCCCCCCTGAATCACCTGTAGCCATCCCGATCCTCTGGCCCCAAACATTTTAGCATGTATTTCTTAAGAACAGAACATTTCCCTACGGCCCTGTTCCTTAACTGGGAACTTAAACAGGGCACTTGTCGCGGGTGAGAGGCCTCTACACGTTAGTGCGTATAATGCAGCCGTGGTCAGATGTCTGTAACATTCCAAAGTGTCCTTCTAGCTGTTCGTGTTGGTTTCTTTTCCTGCTTTAGCCGCGTGTCTGTAAACTCACGAGGCTCTTGCTCAGCACACTCAGACCTCACACCACAGCGGGCGTCCGGCCGGGGAGCCCTAGGCTTGGCTTGTCCTCGGTGTTCCCTACACAGTCTGGGGCAAAGGGCGTGGCCCGTGTGTGGGCGCGGGGACCGTCTGGCTCTGGGGCTCAGGATGGAGGCCCTGCCCACAGGGAGGAGGGGCAACTCCCTGTGGGTCCCAGGGAGACCCTGGGGGAGCCTGTGGTCAGTGGTGCATGAAGGCCAAGACAATGGCCTCGGCAGAGCCAGGCTGGGCCGCTGCCACTTGGCGTTTTGTTGAGACGGTTGATCAGTTAATTTGGACCACAGAAGCATGGTGGCAGTTTCTGACCGACACGATGGATTGTTCCACGTTTGCCCGTCCACACACAGGCACAGAGCCTGGACCACACCTCACAGATGCCTCGGGAGCGCCTCTGGGGGTCCACTCCCAAACTCCGGGAACTTTAGGGCCCCACATTCACGTCCGGAAGTGTCCACACCCACGCTCCTGCCTGGGAAAGCACACAGGGAGCACTGCCGGCTGGCGTGGGGCCCAGGTCCCGCGGGAGCGTACCTGGGGGCCGACCTTCACTCAGCTCGGCTGGAGGGGACATGGGGACGCTGTCCTGCGGGCGGGGGGGGCGGCGCGAGAGGCCTGCTAGGAGAGTGGACAGAGGAGGAGCTGAAGTGGCCAAGGAGGTGAACCGGCTGAGAGTGAGGTGAGAACTACGGCGACTGGTTTCCCCAGTTTGCCAAGTGACGGGAAGAGGGACGGGTCAGCCCAGGAGGGGAGGACTGGAAAGAGGCTGCAGGCTCTTCTGAACTGGCCAGTACGTGCAAGGCTCTGGCCTACCAGGGGGACAGACCCAATCCTGGGAGGCCTTGCCAAGGAGGCCCCTGACGTTCTGGGGGGGCTTTTTCATTCAGAAAAGGGAGCTAAAGACAGATGGACCATCACCTTCCACAGGAGGGTGGGATGCGGCCAGCACCAGGTGCTGGAGACGGGGAGGACCCTCACCCCGGTTCCGCCCGCCCCTGCACGCTGACAGCCTGTCTGGATTGCTGTCTCCGCTCTGGTACCGCCTGTGACACAGAACATTCCCCCACGCCTCCCCCTGCCCCAGCTTCACTGGATCTAGACAAAGCTACAAGGTCTCTTGAGAAGTAAATGACCGAACACAGCAAGAAAACCCTCCACATAGACCTTGCTTTTCGGGAGCGAGGCCGCCGGTCTCTAGGCCTGGTACAGACGCCCGAATGTTCAGCACAGAACCCAGGGCAGTTTCCTGGACCGGCTTCAAGTGCCCAGAACCCCCTCGGACCCACAAGTGCGCGAGCAGGACACACAGGCTCCCAGCCCAGCCCCAGCCTCCGCCAGATCCTGTCACCGGGCCTGGGTGAGCTACTCCCCTGGGGTTTCTGAGACAAAAAGAGCTGATGGACAGCACTGAGCTGCCTCCCGGAGACAGACACAGCGAAGCTGAGCTGGCTTCTTGTAAGATCTGCACACAGCACTCTTGGCCTGGAAGCAAATCCCCCCAAAGGGTCCCTGGCCGCCCAGTGAAAAAGTCCAGAACATCTCCCTCTGCGTCCGGCTGGGCCGGGCCCGGCAAGCTGGGGGCCCTGAGAGGCTCCACCCCTGGCTTCAGACCTGCCCCTCCCTTCACCTCGCCCAGGACGGAGACCGAACACAGAGGAGGGGCCGGGTGCCCGGCCCCTCCGGCAGCCCCGCTGCCCGGGGGCCTACGTACCTCTCGCTTGGACTTCTGGGAGGACCGCTCGAGGATGTCGTCGCTGGAGAGGTCCGAGTCCTCCGAGAAACTCAAGTGGCGCCGCAGCTGCAGCTCTGCAGGGGAGGAGAGCGGGGGAGGACAGTGAGCGGCGCCGTCCAGCCGCCCTCCTGGGGCACGCCACCGCGCACGGGCGAGGGCGGGGCCTGACCGCCTCCTGGCCGACCGCTTCTCTGCCCCTGAGGGGCAGCAGTGGGTGCTGCTCAGGGGTGCCCTTCTCTGGCCCACGCGGCCCCAGGCACTTCTCCCGGCCGACTGCACGCTGGTTTCAGGGCGCTCCTGCCTACGACGCCGAGCGTGCCGGGCACCCCCCTCGGCCCCCCACCGCCTCTCTGCCTCCCAGCACTGCCCCCAGAGCCCCGGAAAGCAGCAAAGTGGCTCCCTGAGAAGACGCCTCGTGCCCTGCCCGGAGGCGCCTTGGTGCGGACGAACCTGCTCTGACCACAGGAGACAGCCTGTGTTTGGCGGAGTCCACGGTGGCACCGCTGGACGGGGTGCTGGAGCAGGACCTGTCATCCCCCTTCTTCTTCTTGTCCTTCTTGTACCCCGAGAAGACCGACTTCCACAGGGACTTGGGCTTGGCGGCCGCTTCGTCCAGGCTCAGGCTGGGCTTCTCCGGGGGCCGGGCCTCCCCTTTGGACTTCTTCTCCTTCTTGTTTCTGCGGGGGGAGAAGAGGGACGATCTCTTCTTGCTCTTCCCACTGGAGCCCTCGGATGAGGTGATGGAGCCATCTGGGCCCCCCGAGTCCGAGGGAGGGGAGAAGACGTCCTCGCTAGTGGCTTCGTGCTTCAGGGTGGACTCGTCAGAGCCTCTGAGGCCTGGGCGTCTGGGGGACGCGGGGCCGAGTTCTTTGCCCTTGGAGGGCACCAGGGTGGCGCTGCGGGAGCTGCTGGCCGCCACCTCCTGCTCCTTCATCCTGCTCAGCTGCTTGGCCATGGCATCTCTCAGCGCCTGGCTCTTGACGGATTTCTCCCTGGCTCGCATGCGCTCTTCAGCCAGCTCCTTGGCCTCTGCGGAGACGACGGGCAGCCCCCTCTTCTGAGGCTGGGCCCTGCTCTCCAGAGCAGGCAACCTACCGTTCTCCTTGGCGAGCGGCGAGCGGAGGGCTTTCTCGGAGCGGGCCCGGCAGGAGGGGGGCGTGAAGAACTGCTCCTGCAGGCTGGAGTCCTCCGTCTGCTCGTCGTACGTGTCCTCCACGTCATCGGCAAAGGGGATCTCGTCCACGCTCTCCACAAAGGACTTGCGCACCTCCTCTCGGGGCGGCTGGGCCGGCTCTCGGGGGGCCCGCGTGAAGGTGGCCGGCGGCGGGGGCGGGGCCCCCGAGGCCTTGGGCTCTGCGTCTCTGGGCTCCGCCGGGCAGGGCTTCCTCCGGAGAGTGGCCGGCTCTTCGTCCTGGGGTGGGGGCGGGGGTGGGCTTGAAGGTGGGGTGAGCATGGTGGAGTCCGAGGTGTTGAAGCTCTGGCTGCCCAAGGTCTTCATATTGGAGGAGCTGCCCTGAAGGCCCAGCCCGGAGCTGCTGGACAGGTCTCTGTGCTCCTCCTGGGAGCTTCTCGGCTCCCGGTCGGACGGGGACTTGGGGGTTGGCAGGGAGGGCAGGTCGCCATCCGATTTCGGCAGGCCCAGCCTCTTAGGGACAGACGGCAGCTTCAGGAGACTGAGCCCCTCGGCCTGAGGGGACTTCTCAACTGCAGAGGGTTTTAGGGGTCCTGGCTTGAGGGCAGGCGAGGAGAAGCTGGGCTCAGGCCCCTTGCCCCGATCCACGGGCGTGAGCCCGAGGCTGCGGCGGATCTCGGCGCTCTTCATCCAGAACTCGGCCACCAGGTCGTTCCGCTTCAGGGCCTCGTCCACGGCGAGAGGGCTGCCCAGCCTGTCCTTGGGGTCTCCTTGGCTCTTCACAAGGGGTGTGGACGTCTTGGCTGGAACGGGCTGGAAGCGTATGGGGGACTGGGTGGGGGATGGGACGGCGGCCTCGGAGGAGGGCTGCGGCTGGGAGCAGATGGGGAACTGGGTGGCGGGGGGCGTGGAGGGGAGCAGCAGTGGCAAGTGGGGCGCAGTGATGGGGGAGGCAGGCGTTCTGGCCTCGGGGAGAGCCACAGGCTGAGATCTGACCGGAGAGCGCACGGCTTTCTCATCTGTGGGGGCTTCTGCTTCGGGCTTCTCTTTGGGGAGCAAAAGCTCAGGGAAAAAGCGTTCCTCAGGTGACTGCACCTTGGTAGCAACAGGGGTGAGAGGGAGTCCGGCTCCCTGCAGAAGAGACAAATGGAAGACACTCAGGGGTCAGGGCTTACTGGTCAGCGCATCCCCGCCCCAGGTTCCCCCCAAAGGCGTGTTCCCTCCAAAGGGTCCGGCCCCAAGAGAAGGCCTCTCGCTTTCTGCGCTGTGTTCCATTCTCAGAACTGCTCCACTTAGAGAGCAGCCTCAGCTTTTGGGGTTTGGTTACTCCTACATTTCTGCACAAAGAACACTCACAAATTCAGCTCTGCCCCCCACCATCAATTCCCTGGAGCTCCAAGATCTCCAATGTACGGATACAGGGCGGAGCTGGAGACTTCAAATGGCCACTGGTTGCAACTGTGTGAACCCTTGTATCTCTCCATCCCGAGTAGCTCAGTGAGACGCTGCATTTCGGAGATGAAACCAACACACTCACGTTGCTTCTCAGAATCCAGAGACACAGCCGCTCAGGCCGGGTCTGTTCAGCCTCCCTCCCGGATCGGCCCTCCAGAGGGTACCTCCCAACCACGTCTCTGCCTACCGGGTAGCAGCCACCACTGTGGAATCTGGAAACTTCTTCATTCTCAGCTACACATTCATTTTAACATAACATTAAGGAAAAGGCACCTGGCATGTCACACCAATGTTCCCCAGGAACAGCCTCAGAAACAGGGGCTTTTAAAATGGTACAGTTGGGACCCTCCCTGGTGGCGCAGCGGGTTAAAGCACAGCACTACGAAGCTGAAGCCACTTCCGCATGAGTT